CATACAAAAGTACACAAGCACATAAGAGAGAGAGAGAGAGAGAGAGAGAGAGAGAGAGAGAGAGAGAGAGAGAGAGAGAGAGAGAGAGGGGGAGAGAGAGAGAGGGGGAGAGAGAGGGAGAGAAAGAGAGAGAGAAAGATTGAGAGAGAGAGAAAGAAAGATATATAGATCGAGAGAGAGAGGGAGAAAGAGAGAGACAGAGAGAAAGAGAGAGAGAGAGGGGAGAGAGAGAGAGAGAGAGAGAGAGAGAGAGAGAGAGAGAACACGAGGGAGAGAATAAAAGAGAGAAGAAGAGAGAAACAGAGAAAAGTGAAACAGAGAATTAGAAAGAGAATCTGAGGTAGTGAGAATGAAGGAGAGATGTGAGTTAAAGGAAAACAGAAATGAGAAATAAAAGGAGGGGGGAGCGAGGAGGGGGTGAGACAACTCGTTCAAAGTAAAAGTAAAGAAAAAAAAAATGTTTGTAACAGATTGAACAGAAATTTGGCATTTTAATTTGAAAGCTGAAGCCCTTATTGCACGGGGACACAAGAGGGGCATGGCCTCTTAGAATTGTAAGGAGCGCGCATGCACAAGCTCAAGGCCCTGACATGACATTTGGCAAGCTGAGGCCATTAAGGTCATTGAACTGTCAGTGGCATCTTAGGCAGAGTTTTACCGATTTATTTTGGGGGGTTGGAAGGGGGGGGGGGTCTTTTACATTCAATATTCATACGCTTTTATTCATTCTCTTTTTCTTTTTTTTTTTGTTTTGAAAATGTAGGTTATTTGACACAATTTAAAAAAATTAGTAGGCGGGCTTTGACTATGTCTGATTCTTTTTCTCATGTTAAACAAGTGAGTGTGTGCAAGAGTGTCTGTATGGGTGTTCTGTTCTAGTAAGAGTTTTACGGCACTTGCAACACAATAAGGTCAAATAAGTGCCGAAGATTAGAGGTGTTACAAGAGAGTAACAAACATAAAAAAGAAAGAAGGGAGATAAGGCCTATATTTGATAGGAAAGAAGCAAACCACACCAGAACACCCACCAACCACCCACAGACTAATGTTAAAAGCTAAACAACTGTAAGGCTCCTGTATACAATGGACTGCTGAAGTGTAAAGTGAATGTACATTTCGCTCAAATACTCGCCTGTGTCACATGACGGACAGTTTGCCACAATTGCGTAATACACTGTAGGGTTGCGGATGGTCGTAGAGCTCACCGCTGATATGTTCTACTTCTTTTCTTTCCTTAATCCTTCTGTTGTTTCTGTCTGTCTGTCTTACTTTTTCCAGGCACAAAATGACCATTATTTTGTCGATTCGCTTCTTTCTAACTCAAACTCAAACACTGAGGCCTAGTTTTGACGAGACTTGTATTGTCAGATGTTTGCTTTCACTGACCCACTTGAAGCTGATTACGTAGATCTATGTCCAATCGTTCAGGAGCCGGGGGTAAAATATGACCACACCCTTAACCTCTCCTTT